AAGAACTCGAAAAGCGAGGCTCACCGAACCATTTATCCCTCCGCCCTTCAATTAATTCCACATGTGTTTATCAACCAGTTTGGCACAATAAACTAACTCAATCCACCCCTTGCCAACCTGGCACCTGTACATAATTCTTTAGCGTCACAACTGAAATTAAGTAACACCTACACCTTAACCCTATAATTCTGTGAATTTTTCCCCTCACCTATGAAAGTTTGTAAGCCAACCACTTCATGCCTTTATCTCCCCCAATTTTGGGTATCCAATTTATATACTGCACACTTACATCAAGCCAGTTCTCTGAGAAGACAATCATATTTTTCGACATGAAGAGTTTTCATTCCAATTGGAACCTTGTGAAGTCTGCATCCATAAGCAAAGTTAAATCCGGACAGGCCATCCATAAAGTCAGCAACAATATGCACCAGTTCACAGGCTCAAAAGTCTCCAGCTGGTCGGGTTCTGGTCAACTCAATGTGGGCTGCCCCACTCAGCCTCCACAGGGTGCCCATTGGTCGCTTTGCCTGAGACCATGGACTCTCACAAATACTCAACAAGGCTAGCCCCCTCAGGCTAGGTCATGACCTTAGACCAGTCAACCCGCTCTCATCTTCTTTTTCCCCCCCTGTAACCAAGTCCACAGGTGCCAGTGGCCAAACTCAACCTGTCTCTTTATTGCTGCATTTCTCCCACTTCCACTCAAGTAGATCCAGGTGGTCACCTAGCAAGCAGTTCAGCCTGCTCACAGGTTCCCTTTAACATTCAGTCCCAGAAAGGAGTTTTCTTTATGGTTCCAAATTTTTTCCAGCTTCTGACTGAGACTACTGGTTCCTTAGTACTCCAAAGCACTGGGTGGGACATATATTTTCAAATCTTTTTTACAGACATGGCCTAAACCCATTTAAAGATCAAATTTTAATGACTGAAGCAAGTGGACTTACAAACGTTCTGTTTTCCTACTTCCCATATTCCCCCCAGAAAAGCAACCGAGTAAATGGTGTGGCTTTATCAGACCTCTGCTAAACAAAGAAGGAAAACTTCCATGAGGGAGATGTCAAACAAACATCTACTCTCCATCCTATGATTTGTTTCTCCAGTACCCCACTCCCAAGGTACCATAATGTATTATTAGTCTGGGTACTTTAGAGAAACAAATCCACAGAAACTCATGTATAAGAGAGAGTTTTATGTAAAGGTTAAGTGAGCATCAAGAAAACATCCCAACCCAGTGCTGCCCAAGCCCACAAGTCCAACATTAACCCATATGTCCGACACGATCCACAAAGTCCCGTCTCCATCTCACAAAACAGACGCAATGATGCCGACTGCAGAAGGAAAGCCAAGTCGGTTAATGTGTAAACATCTCACCGCTGGCAGGGGTCTTCACACGGCTGCTCCAGCACCCGGGGCTGCATCGGGGTAGCTCCATGTGGCTTCTCCTTGGGGATGTCTTACAGGAAGTCAGCTTTGAGAGCTGAAGCTGGGAACTGGCTAAGGCAGCTGCATCCTGGTCCGACCTTCACAAAGCGAGACCCGAGAACTCGAAAGGTAAGGCTCACCGAACCATTTATCCCTCCGCCCTTCAATTAATCCCACATGTGTTTATCGGCCAGGTGGGCACAATCAACTAATTAACTCATAAGACAAGCCTTAAAGTCTTAAAGTTTAAGACCCCAGATCTTAAACTTTTCTTTTTGATATCTGAGAACCATTTGATTTTTTCACCACACGTTGCTAAGCACCCACATCTTCAGTGATCACTTCATAAGACAAGTATTAAACAGGGCCATATCACAAGAACTAATTGTTCCTATCTTGAGGTCTTCCTCTTTTTAACTGAGTCCCAGCTCTACCAAGGATGATGTGCTTCTCCAGGGATTGATCATTCTTGATTGGCATGTCCAAAACACGTGAGCGTCTCATCATCGTCACTTCTTGGAACATTCTGGCTGTGCTTCATCTAACACAGACTTTGTTCATTCTTCTGGAAGTTCCTGGTGTATGTTTTCACTATCTTTGCCAACATCCATATTCAAAGGCCTCACTTGAAATGCATATGAGGCAAATAAAAATATCATGACGTGGGCTAAGCATTTCTTAGTCCTCAAAGTAATATTTTTACTTCTTAATACTTTAAAGAGCTCTTCTGGGGGTAGAGGAAAAGGGTATGGGAAGTGAATTGTACACTTAAAAAGTGGTTATAGTAGTAAACCTTATGTGACAAATTTTTACAATAGATAACGATAGGCAAGGGAGCACTCATGGTCAAAAAAGAATGTGGTACTGAAGTTTTTCTCAAAATATATTCCATGGCACATTAGTGGCTTCCTCTAGAGAGGTCCATAGCTAACTACATTGAGGAAATGTTCTATCTTCTGCTCCCCTTTTGTAAATTAATAATGCACCTTAGCATAGTAAAGAGTGAATAATCTTACGTTGACGAGAGCTGTTTACCATTTCCCTTCCATTAATTTAACTGTGGGACCATTTTAAGAGTAATGCATCTGGGGGACTGACAGACTTGATTGAAATACGATGCTCTGAGGTACTGAGAAGGGCAAATGAAAGGGTTCCCAACCAACCTTGCTAATAAAGCAGAAAGATTGTCCATATGTGTAACTTAGGGGATGGAAAGACGGGTATGTGAAACTCAGAAGTATGAAAATGGTAGAAGATTTTGATGTAGGGAATACTACATGAAATTGCCGGCTTCTCTTTTTCTGGGCAAAAACCACTATCCCGTAGGCTTTCCTTTCCTCCCCTCTACCTTGTTGATGGAAATTCTGTAACTAAAGTGAATTCACTCTACGCCTCTATACATATTTTAACCTAAAAAATAAAATGTAGTCCCTCATTAAAAGGACTATGGAATAGATGGCCCAGGATGGAAAACTCAGCAGTCATGGGGGTCCTGCTGTGGATCAGTGACCCTGTCTCGTGGGTTGCCCTGCCATTTTTATCAGGCTTTAACCAACTGAGGTCCCTGAGCGGCACAAGGGGTTAGTGCCAACTCAAACCCACCAAGAGGGTATGGGGGCAAAGGTCTGGCCACGTGCTTCTGAAAGCTCACGGGGGTCGGTCAACTTGAGTGAAAAGGGGCTCCGTGGAAACGGGCCGCACTTGGTGTTCAGTAGATGGCAATGGGCATGTGACAGAGCTGTTGTTACGTCGCAGTCCCTCGGTCCCGCTAGGTGCCCGGGGGCCTGTGATAACCCGTCGGCCTCTCCGTGTGACAGCGGAGCTCTGGCCGTGCCCCCAGTCGGCCTGTCCGTCAGGGTCAGTCAGCTCCTTCAAGATCGATCTCAGACCACCTCTGCTGGCCTGTCCATCCTCCACATATCCGTCAGCCCGTCGGTCCCTCCGAGTCCTATCCTCAGTCCCTTGCACCATCCGGGAACCGGCCGGCAGAGGTCTTCACACCCTCCCTTGGGCCTGCGGAGCCCGTGGCAGCCATTGCTGCCCTCCAGGCTCACCTTCCAGTTCTGAGAAGACGCTGTCCCCGCTTCCAAACCAGGCACTGGCGACTCTCCGGCCCCGGCGGGCATGAAGCGGCCATACCGCTGCAGAGGCCACTGAGTGGACCCCAATTCTGGAAGCCCCACGACCGCCCGCTCTTTTCCCGCTTCCGCCATGCCTGGCCGTCGAGTATGCGCAGCCGCGGCCTCCCGATGGTGGGGCGGAGGCTGCCAATCACACGGTTAGCCAATCAGAAAGAGAAGGGACCCAAGCCCCACCCTACTCAGTGGGGAGCCAATGAGCGCGCCCAGAAGACGCCTGCGCGGGTTGCGCTCGCCGTCCTTGGAGACTGTCTAAACCAGTGGTTCTCAACCTGTCGGTCGCGACTCCTTTGAGGGCCGAAGGACCCTTTCACAGGGGGATTGCCCGTTTCATAACAGTTGCGAAATGACAGTGATGAAGTAGCAACGAAAATCATTTTATGGTTGGGGGTCACCGTCACATGAGGAAGGTTGAGAACTAGTGAAGAGGCTTCAGAAAGTTTGTGGAGAAGTTCCATTATCTTTCATTTACTTGGGAAGCCTTCTTGTAAAGTGGTCGTTTGTATCTTGACATGCCATTGTGAAGTATAAACAAACCAAACAACAACGACCAAACTCTGCCATCGAGGCAATTCTGATTCATAGTGACCTCAAAGGGCTGAGCAGAATTGATTCTGTGGGTTTCCAAGACTGCAGCAGAAAGCCTTGTTTTTCTCCCACGGAGCAGCTGGTTCAAATGACTAATCTGAAGTTAATAGCTCAAAGAGTAACCACCAGGGCTTCTTGGAATGTGTGTTTTTTTGTTAGGAGCCATCAAGATGGTTTCGACCCATAGTGACCTTATACACAATAGAACAAAACACTGCCTGGTCTTGTGCCATCCTCAATTGTTCCTAGGCTTGAGTCTATTGTTACAGCCACTGTGTCAATCCATCTCGGTGAGTCTTCCACATTTGCACTGCTGTGTCACTTTACCAAATATCACGGGGCTGCTCTCTCCTGACAACATGCCCAAAGTATGGAAGATGAAGTCTTGCCATCCTTGCCTCTAAGGAGCACTCTGGCCATCCTTCCAAAACAGATCAGTTTGTCCTTTTTGCAATCCGTGGTACATTCAATTTTCTTCTCCAACACCACAATTCAAATGCATGTATTCTTCAGTCTTCCTTATTCAATGTCCAACTTTCACATGCATATAAGTATACCTTAATACGGGTCAGGTACACCTTAATCCTCAAAGTAATATCCTTGCTTTTCAATACTCTAAAAAGCCCTGGTGGCATAGTGCTTACATGTTGGGCTGCAATCTGAATGGTCGGCAGTTCAAAACCACCAGCAGCTCCGAGGGAGAAAGATTGGGCTTTTTACTCCCATAAACAGTTACAGTCTTCGAAGCCTACAGGAAGGACGCTATGAGTCAGCATGGACTCGATGGCAATGAGAGAGAGGCCTACTTTCAGGAAGCCCAATGGACTGATCCCTGTAACTTCTCTACCCTGGTACTGCGTCTGCTCTCTGAAGTTCTGCCTGGAAAATGTGTTTCCCTTCGTCGCTGCAACTAAACTAGGACTCCAGATCTAAAGGAAAGGAAAAGAGAGGTGGAACTGTACGCTTAATGTTGTTAGCTGCTTTGAGTCGATTCTCACTCATGGTGACCACGGGCTTGTGTCCCACGGGGTTTTCAATCCTGCAGCCTTTCAGAAGCAGATTGTCAGGCTTCCGGCTGGGCCCAAACCATAAACCCTTTGACTCATGGTCACTGAACCCCATTTGTGCTACCCCAGGGACCATACCCATACTCCGGACTGTGAATAGCACGTGAAAGTTACAAACCAAGTGCTCTAAACGGCTCAGTTGACGTTTACAAATCTACCAGGGGAAGTCAAAGTGGCGTTTCAGGTCAAGCTTTCCAGGGGAAGATGGAGGAAACTGGTTTTCTGGAGGAAGCTGGGGCAGCTGAGGAACAAGGTTGCAAAGAGGAGGATAGTCGCAACTTAACTAGCTAACCGGCAAGTTATTCTTGTTTTCGTTCTTAAAGAAGACGAGGCCTCAGATATGAGCTGAGACAGAAGAGTGCTGAGCGGGGTGGATTTTACTTGGAAAGTGGGAAGATTGTGGAAATGTTGCATAGCGAAGGGACACGGTCATCATGGTGGTCCAAGCAGGGACATGGGGCATCAATAGAATTAAAGGCAAAGGGGATTTGTCTTTCCATTAGTTTAGTAGAGCTTGCTGGATGAGGTAAGATTTCAGAAACTTCTTCCCAAGGTCCTTAGATGGCACAAGCGGATTGTGTTTAAAATAGCAGTACCTGCTTAATACTTTGTTTGCAGGCCAGCTGCATGTGACCTTGGGAAAGTCACTTATCCTCTACGTAAAACAGGATGAACAAAGACCTACCTCACGGAATCATTGGTGGATAAAACAAGATCACCTATGAAGGGGCTTCAAGAGGTTCATGGAAACATTCCATCATCTTTTAATTCAAATTTTCCACGAACTTTTTGAAGCCCCCTCATACAGGCAAACAGTTGGTGAATTAGGAAGTGGCACACATGTTGGTTCTATTTCCAGGGTTAAAGTGACTTTCTGCGGGCTCCCTCCACACAGGGAGGATGGGAGCGGGAGCCTGACATTCATTCTCACGGGCACTCACCTTCCAGGTCCTGGGCTGCAGCTGCTGTCAGACACCTTTCATAGGAGCAGATGGTGCTCACAGTTGGGACTCTATCAGTGCCCAAGGACACCCAGAGCCCTGCTGAGTTCCCACCTGCAAGCTCCTTTCCTAGACAAAGCACCTGTGCTTCAGCTTCTGGGGCCACCAGAGTCTGCCAAGAACAGGTCAGATCTACAAAGGAGATGTGATAAGGCCACAGCCTGATGAAAGGAGGCTCGTAAAAGCTTAGGAAATTAACAAATGTGGCTTGAGCACCCAGGGGGTGCCAGGCACTGTACTACATGCTGGGGGTGCAGCAGAGACCAAAACAGACGTGGTGTCTGCCCACTTGAAGCTTGCAGTCTAGTGAGAGTCTTGTACATGTGGAGTCAGTGAGTCCATATTTTCTCACGGCAATTGCATTTTCTTTGTTAAAATAGAGCTGCAACATAGAGCTAGATCTAACTTCCAGACCCAAACGAGCACAGGTCTCATGTGTTGGAATTGATGAATTTTGATTCTTGCATGTACTCACGTCACAGCCACCCAATCACACTCGCGAGTGTTTCCCAAGCCCCCACAGTCCCCTTCTGAGTGCCTCCTTCCGGGCCATCTCTGCCCACCACTGATCTGATTTTTATCTCCAGAGTTTAGCTTTCCTGGATGTACTCCTTTGCATGTGGTCTTTTGCTCAGGTGTGTATCAGTAATGCATTCCCTTTTAGTGCTAAATAGCATGCCGTCACATGACTGGGGTTGTTAGGTGTCTGGGAGTCCATTTTGACCTGACTCTTTGCAACCCCAGGAACCCCAGAATGAAACATTGTCATGTCTCAATCACAATTTGATGACTTCCTCTTGATAGACATTTAGATTGCTTTCATTTTTAAAGGCTACTATAAACATTCTCGTGCAAATTTATTATTAATATTTTTTATTAAATGAGGGGGTAAAAAGAGTAGCTTGTACCAAAGGCTGAAGTAGAAAGAAAATGTTTTGGAAATGATGATGGCAACATATTTACAAATGTGCTTGATACAATTGATGTATGGATTGTTATAAGAGCTATAAGAGCTCCCAATAAAATGGTTTATTAAAATTAATAGTCAATAAATACATGTTTTCATTTATCTTCACTAAATACCTAAGAGCAAAATTGCTGGGTCCTAGAGAAAGACATTGTGTTAGGCAGGGTGCTCTAGAGAAATAAAACGAGGACACTTATGATTTTATATATAAAAGGATAGGCTTATAAAAGCGAGAAGGAATACAACAGCTAATTACTCCACACAACAGCACAGAGGGAGGGCTCAGTCCACCTCACTTTCATGGAGTTAATTTACTGAAGGACCTTCCTACTCACACCAGCGCTGGTCTAAGGTCAAGGAAGCAGTCCAGCAAAGAGACTGGAAGGAGGTGCAGAGTCTGCCTGCAAGCTAGAGGAGTAGAGTGAGCCCTCAGATAGTAGACACAGCAAGATGGGGTGGCAACAGCAGGAAGATGAGATGTCGAGGCTTAGCAGAGCCAGTGGACCAGCAGCATTATAAAGCAAGTCATGATGGAGCCTCAAGACATAGCAATGTATGGCAAAGTGACAAGATCCATGGGTTGGCTCGGCCCACAGGTAGTGCAGCACATGGTTGAAGCAGAGCAGCTAACTCGGGCAGCAGCCACTGGGCAGATCGCCAGGGAGAAAAAGGAAGAGGCCTGCCTCGGTGGGTCATTTACCTTGGTCTCCCTTCAATCAAGCGGCAACCATATTGACAGGTTAAACCCTGCCCACATGACCCCACGGGAGCCATGTTGGCTCAAAAACCTATCACAGATATGTTTAACTTCATATGAAACTGACAACCTGTCCTCCACAGTGGTTGTACCAGCAAAATAGGAGCGTTTCAGAGGCTTCGCATCCGTACTAATGATTGTGTTGTCAGGCCTTTTAAGCTTTGACTATTTTAGTGAGTCTGCAGTGGTATTTCATTGAAGTGTACATTTGCATTTCCCTAATGATAAATGATATTAAGCCTCATTTCAAAAGACTTATTGGGAAGGCTTAATAACAACCTGCAATATGCAAATGGCCTACCTTGCTTGCTGAAAGTGAAGAGGACTTGGGACACTTGTGGATGAAGATCGAGGATTATAGACTTCAATATGGATTACAAATTAACTTAAAGAAAATCAAAATCCTCACAATTGGACCAATAGGTAACATTCATGATAAATGAAGAAAAGACTAAACTTGTCAAGGATTTCATCTTGGATCCACAATCAATGCTCGTGGAAACAGCAGTCAATATATAAGCAGTGCATTGCAGTGGGTAATCCTGCTGTGCAAGACTTCTTTCAAGTGTTGAAAGTAAGGATGCCACTTTGAGGACTAAGGTGCATCTGGCCCAAGCCGTGCTATTTTCAATGGCCTCCTATGAATGCGAACACTGGACACTGAATGAGGAAGACGGATGCACTTGAATTTTGGT